TCTACATATAAAAGTGGGGGTGGATACTCTATGATATGAATTTAGCCAGGTGACTGGAAGTCAAACACCTCAGATTTACATGCTATTTTTCTCCCAAGAAACATCAGCTCTTGTTAGTTTGTTTGTCAGATATAAATGAGGAAGCTGGCTCCAGCTATCACCCATGATGCCACTGGCATATTTGATGGGCACACAAAGAATTTCGAAAATAGTAATTATGCCAGCTTTCTGTCCAACATCATTAAATACTTGTCATTCATTCAGTATAATATATATTATATTTGTAACTGATCATGCAAACTTATTCATCCAACTCCAAGACCTGGGTTTAAATTATATCAGTAACTATGGCAACCAAATTATTGGGTAAATCATCAGAGTTTCTGCTAATAATTGCATTTTATTGACCAAATACTGAAGAAATTTGGAACCAAATATTTACAATATAGACCCCATATAACCAAATATAAAGTAAACCCTGTGAGTGAAGAATTCATATCTAATACATGTATTCCAACTATTATACAAAAATTTAAATATATCAATACAATTTAAAAAAAGTCAGTTGTGAAAAGAAACCATAGGTGTTATTCAATTTTATCTTGAATTTTAATTGAAAAACATTTTTTACATTAAACACAACAATATTACTTAATATCTAGCAATAGTCACACCATGGAAGCCTATAAGTAATATGTATATTTGTATATATGGATTATCACTGACCACAGATTGACCAATAAACAAAATCCTGATCCTACTTACGAACCATTAAGACTTTGATATACACTGATAATACAGTGACTGACCAAGTTAAATAGGTGCACTTGTTTACATATATGTAATGTAAACATGCAAATCTATGGTATATTTATACATGATAATCTGATAAATTTCACCTCTTTATTTCTCTCAGATGATTGCTAATATTACAGAACAGAACAGAACTTTATTTTCTCTCAGACATAATTATGTTGTACAACATGAGGAATTCAATATTATTATACTCCAGTTACAGTTATTATGTTGCTAATGTTCTGAGATAGTATTTTACTACTGAGTCCAGACTACTGGTGACTGTCTATATAACATGAAAAATGATCAACCTTTATTTTTATGCCTCTATCATTTATAATTATTACATTTCATAATTCTATTGGTTTGAATTATACATATGATATTTTAATGAGTAATTGTAATACATGTTGAGGTATTGTGCTACAGTGTAAATGTATTTTGTGTATGGCCTTTGGGCATACCTCCTACCCAGAAGGGAATTCTGACCCAGAAAAAAAAATATCTCAGAATCTAGCTTTGACACATCAAAATATTATGACTTTATGAATAATATGCTGTATGGATCTACTATTGTTTACAGATAGCATCTTGATAATTTCAATAAATAAATAGATTTCTAATGTCTGATTGAGTAATTGTATTAATTGAAGTAGTGTATATATATTGCCTAACAAAATTAGGCTTAAATGATTATGTTATTGCGATCAATTCATACTACAATAACAAAGAAAAAATATCCTGTAACAGGCCTAATCTATTAAAATATACATGATTTATACTGGAAATGTATATTATACAATGTCTACTTATAGATAAGCTAATTGCCGAGCTTTTATGCCAGTGCACTCCTTTTCTAGAGGTATGCAATTAAAAATGCGTTTATTTATGAATAGAACAATAGACCTTTACATAATAAAGTACTAGCCCATTAAACACAGAGACCAAGTTAAACTGAAAGAAAACATACTTATTAACCGATATTGATAATCAATGTCTTTTATCGTCAAGATCAGAGTAAACAAATGCTAATCTGATGAAAGGAGTTTTACCTGTCTGAGGACGAACTCATTTTCAAAACTGCATTTTCTTGTTGGAGTTGCCTAACAGTTTCTTCTAACGACTCTATTTTCTGAGATTGCATAAGAATAAGTCCATCCCTTTCCTTTATCATGTCCCATAGCTCCTCTACACTTTTGGAGCCCAACGGTGGGGCTCCTGGTTTAGGGTCTCCCATCGCCAATTACAGCCAATTAACGCTATCCGCCATATTGCGTAAAAATGATAAATCCAACCAAAATATTAACCCCTAAGATTATCCCAAAGTTCAAGACGTGTAAAATCGATAAAAACTCATTTTCTGTTATACTCCACACACTGGTAACAAGCCGTGTTCAATATTTCCCAATTGTTGGCACACTCAGTTAAATTTTGTGTATTGGAAATGCATTTGTTGACAGTTCGTACACGCTCAAATTGTAAATCGTACAACTCTTACAAGGGAATCACGCGGAAGTGTGAATGACGTCATTTCTCAGGTATCACCAGGTATTGGGAAAACCCAGGTATATTCTGTCACGGCGGGCAGTTGTTTTAATGAGTAGAACGATAACTTTATAAAGGGAAGTGCCCAGTAATTTGTAAATTTTATTATAAGAAATTGAAAAGTAGTAGTTTTAAAAGATCTAATAAAACCAGCTGTTTATGTTTTTTCTGTTTTTTTTTAGAAAAATTGTTTTCTATAAATTGAATTATCTAAATTCTAATTTAATAGGGCTAAGTGATGTAGGTTACATTATGTAAATGTACTGTATACTGAATTGACCCTGAGCATCTATTATCTACTAGAGATAATTCAAATAAGCAGAAGCTAATAAATTTACCTTCATGTATTTGTCTATCAATAATGGTCAAAGGGAGACAACACATTAAAAACACAGAACATTTAAACATACCGGCAAACTCCTCACAGTGATTACCTCCCTTGGCAAAATTGTAGGAGATCACTGCGTACAGGTACATTATATGAAAGCATGGGCAACAGGAATTTCATGAAAAAATAACATGAAAATGATTTTAAGCTTCTGAATTTTAAACCACAAATTTATAGAAAATAATGAAATCAAAGACTTTGGGGACATGATTAAATTTTGTTACATAAATTTATTTTAAAAAAAAATGTTATGAGAAAAGTAGTACATCAATTAATCAAAATAAATATTTTAATAAATAAATTTATGTTAACGTTAAATAAATATCACTTTGATATATTGTCTTGTCATTAAGCGGCTTTGGGCCATTTTAGATGGTTTTAACTTTTTTTCATCAAAAGGCACATGCTAATTATATTTTCTTCACCATAACATGTTGGCAACTTCCCTTAATATTGGTGAATAACTTTCTGGTGACCTATCTGCCTATGACCAACATTAAAGGAACTCCACTGAGGTCCAATAGCCTAAATACATAAAAGTGAATTTCTTACATAGATCAACTTGGGCACTTAAAACAGAAATATATGCAAAGATAATTAAGACATCTACTCAGAAATAAATTGAAAATCATATTCTTGTGCTATTCTTAGTCTGATTTTGGTCATTTTATGTGAATAGAATGATTATTCTGATAAGAAAAAAAATGGGATGAGCAAATAATCTGGAATTTTACACACATGCATTTGTTATTAATCTCATAAAATTGTTACCAGCCCTCAGTGAAGTCCCTTTAATAGCATTATCCAATAGTTAACTCTTTTCCCAAAGATAGGAAGAAAAAACCTTGCCTATCACATCTGAAGAACAATATGCATACCTGTAGGTTTTACAACAAAATTTTATCGATTAATCCTAAATAGATGCAACAAGTCAAGGAATATATAACTTTATTAGTTTATTATGAGATTTTTTCTTATGAATTATTCAGTGGTATATAATTATGATTCCACAATGTAAGTAAATATACACTGGTATGGGAAGAAGACTGAAATGTATGGATTCCTTCAGCATTATATTATTCAGAGAAAATTTGTATGAAACTGGAGAAATTATCTCCCTTTCTTCAAGATAAGTTGTTGCTTCCACTTTGATCGCTAGCTGCATTGTCAGCTAACCTATGCCACAGTAGAACAGTCAGAGGCTGCACATTTCATATTTTTATTTGTCTATCCAGAGTTAGTAAACTGATTTTAATACATTTTTGGTCGTATCTTGCTTGTCAGTGCACAGGTTTATATTGTTAGATTTTAAATTGTAAGTTTGGAACAAGGAAAATTAACCATTGATTGTGCCAATTTATGATTAGACTAACAAAAAGCTGTGAAGATAAGAAAGGGGCACAACCATCATGTCAAAATGCAATTAAGAGTTGTATAACTAGGCTTGCTGTGCTTGCCTATATATGTAAAAAACATAAGCAAACTTAGAAGGCAAGTTCTACAACTCTTTTGAATTTGTTAAAAAGTTATGCCCCTTTTCAACAAAGAATGTTTTCTGACATTTACATAATCTTTAGTGCATTTAGTCAAGATCAGCTTCATTCAATGTTTGCTATTCAGTCAGTATATATTTTGAAATTTTCAATAAAAATGATCAATTGGTTTTGTCCAGATTGAAAGATAAGACCATTTAAAAATATATAAGTCTATTTAAAATATTTCACAAAGTAAGCTTTGAAATTTCAAGGGACCCTCTGTTCTGATTTTAAAGATATGTAAATTTCAAAATATATTCTATGATGAAAAGGGACATAACTTTTGAAAAACTCAATATAATTGTAGAACTTGCTTTCTACATGTAAGTTTGCTTAAGTTTTTTAAAAGTTTCACATTAATAACTGTTTTGGTTTTATAATGCAATGTAGTAAATTTCTTAACATTTTACAAGTTACAGGGACATAACTGTAAAATTCAATCAAAAAGTTGTGTGCCTTGACATGATTAACTTGATGATGACCCTTTATACATATTTGAAGTTTCAAGTAAGTACCTTTACTGATTTTAGAGGTATTCAAATAAATATAAATTTTGGAAATAGGGACATAACTTAAAAATACAATAACAAGTGAGACATTTGGCCTACTGAGGACTCTTGTTTAAGAAAATTGAATCACTTCAGTGAAAACTATTGTCAATGGCTGTTAAAAAAGCATCTTATAGTTTCAGTAACTTTTATTATGAAGCAAGGAAAAAGTTGACAACAACAAAGCAATGAGGTTTAAAACAACAATTTTATTGTTTTACAGAAAATCTGAAATAAAAAAAAAACAAAAACAAAATATTCCACTGGAACTTTCATGTTACAACAAAATCTCTTATGTGTAGTGCTTTTACAACAAATTGCTAATTAATTAAAATGGATGTTTTATGTCATTAGGAATAACTGAAACACTCATATTTTCTTTAAATTTAGTATTATTGAAACAAAATCTCTAATGTGTAATGCAGCTAATGTGAACGTTCCTAATATTTTCAACTAAATTCAATTAAAAACCACAAATGGCTAATATTAAAAAACAAATTGCAACCCTCATTAAATTCACATTGTTAAAAGAAAAAAGTGCATGTATTGTAAATTAAATCTTTTTAAAAATGCTTTTAAAAGATAAAAAGATGTATCTACTTTGATATGTTACAAAATATTTCATATAATAAATTATATAAGTATAAAAAGCTGTTATTACTGAGTATTTTATAACCATAACATTGAAAATACAGAAAAAATCCCCTCCACAACTATTCTGCTGCTTTTGAACATTTTAGAATAATTGTTTCATACACTGTATAATCAAGGAATCTAAAATTAAAATATAATTTTACACAAAAAAAACCACTGTTCAGAAGAGCAAGGCAATGACAAATATCCTTTTAATATCTTTTTTAAGACCCCCCGACTTATAAGCGGTAGGAACATATGGATGAGTAAAACAACACTCAAATGCCTAAAATTCTATTAAATTCTGGAATGTAAAAAATTCAGCTTAAAACAAATGCAGTTTTTAGATTTGAAACATTACTTTGCTATTTTGACAGCATTGTCTTGTCATTTTAGATTTTAATTATAGGGTTATCATTTAACATACTCAGTAAAACAGATAAAATTCTTTAATAAAAACAAACATGGTTAGTAAATTTAAACATATATCAAATGATATGAAAACAATGAAAAATGAAACGATAATAAAAAACAATTGCCAGCAAATGTAAAATCAAATCAACTTTAATTTTGTTCCCTGATTTATTTTTTTGCATGACTTGTCAATTTCACAATTAGTTTATACCCTGAGTATACTAAATGTATTTAACAGCAGATAACAAACATTTATATTTTCACTTGTACATGCGTCTTTAATAATTATTGGCCAAGACTTTTTTTAAATTATTTAATATTTCTGTTTTAAAAAATGTCATAAACAAATAACATTTTTATTAAATTATCAGCATTTAATTACAATCAAATAAGCAGTTTTCTTTCTAATTATTTTGACTAAAAAAGAACCCAAATACTAAGTGCAGCCATGTTCTTTCATTATGATGAATTGTTACTGCATGTCCAAAAGTCTGGTTTCTTTATAATACCAAATATTCAATATATTTCATCTTTTACATTCAGTTTTTTTTCAAAAAAAGTTTTTCGCTAATTTGCAATGAATTTTATAATTTGACCATCTTTAGTTGATATTATGTCTGGTAAGCCGGAGGTTGTGATGACGGGAGTTGGTATGGTGGAGGAGGCGAGTCTGGATGAGGAGCCTTTTCAACTGGCTGTTGCCCAACTGAAACATATGGTAAAATGATTATTATATGATTATCATCTCTTTACATAGAAATTAGAAAACAAAATGTTGCAAGCCTAAGCTTATAAGCATTAAATATTAAACCAAGAGCAATGACTTTGAAAAGATGTAGTTGCATATTTTAACAAAAGACCAATCTGCATATGACCAGGCTCTTTGCTTAAAAATAATTGTTAAGATACAGTTGGCTGCTGTAAGTTAGCTTTTTCATACATTTATTTGAAGATTCTGATTAATTCTTGAAATCCTTTTAATTGCATGGGAATGGAAACCAGAGTTCTTCATAATTTTTTTTTTGAGCCAGTCTGTTTTGAATATGCTTACCCCATGTTTAAGAAAATGATGTTTTTAAAAATAAGTGTGGATGGACGTATGGACAGACGATGGACATTGGGTGATCACAATAAAGTAATCACCTTGAACTCTGGCGATCTTTGGTTGGGTTTTTACATGGTACGTCATGTACCAACACAGTAGAAATCACATAGAGACTTTCCAGCTTAACTGGAGGCGAAAGTCCTCAGGTGCCCTCCGTGTATTATTTCAGGCACCTTAGTAGAACCACTGATGCTCTGATCTGGTGATCTAAAAAGTTTATGAAATTAGAAATAACTTTCAAAACTATGAACAACTTTTTATCTTTATTCCTGAAATTAAAATTTTTTACAAGGATGACATGTATATTAAAATACCAACCACCATTGCTGAGCACACACTGCCGTTCAGAAATTGGCTTTACATCCTTCTCACTGTTTTTGCCAGAGCACAGTCGGCCAATCTTGTCGGCGACATAGCTACAGGCTGAAACAAAATAAAGTTATAAAAAATGATCATTGAAAGGGAATTAATAAATTACAGGTGAATACTTACTGGACATATGAAAACAAATGTTACTTAAATGAAGAGCATAATGCAGAAAAAAAAACAATCTAAAGCTTAGAAATTCTTTTAAAGGATTCTGAGTCTTTCCATCAGAAATATTAACTGGATTACAAAGTTGCTTCCTATAATTTTTTTCTCAAGTGATAGGTCTCAATTTGACAAATAATCAAGTAAGTATTCATATCAATATAATGAGATACATTTTTTTCACTAGAATAGATATGATTACAACAAGTTTAAATTGGTTTGTGGTGTGCATCCCTAAGACAAGTTTTCTGCTCTGGATTGTCAGAGATGCATTTTACTTTATGCAAATTATTATTTACATTAGTACAAATTACTATAATAAATATATTATGGGCATTATTTAGAAATTGCAAGTAGACCAAGAAATTATTTTCATGTATTCTCAGGTTTGATTATATATCTCACTGCCTGAGGATTTTTCAGGTTTACAATAATGGCGATGAGGTTAAAAATTAATGACAATCCTTTTAGTGTTTCATTTGCGGGCATGAAGAATTGACCAGCAATCAATTACAGACAGAATTTTAGAAAGACAGGATAGTCAAGACAGTGTATCTAGGATGCGTATCTAGCATACAAGTCCCATCTGAGGAACCTCTTAGGTAAATTACATTTGGAAAGAGCATACAGAGTGATGACTTTTTCAACGTACATAAAATATGGCAGTATTCAAAAAGTGTCTGTAAAATGGGTCAAAAATTCAGGCCTAACGAAATAGTTTAATGTTTTCATAAAATGATATCTTTTCTACTGATATTTGACCCAACTGTTCTAATTTTTGACCTTACATTCTTTTGTAAATCTGCAAGTTAACTTACAACTACATGTATATTTACAAATACAAATAAGTCAAATTGATATAAATGATGTTGTCAATTTCATCCAAATATTATGAATTACTCATGTGATAACCTGTTTAGTATGTTATCTGATTACATAAAATTTGCACCAGAAATAATTTTTTGACACTGACAGATCTACAAATGTAGAACTAAATTGGCAAATGAATCAATTAAAAATAAAATAAAACAAATCATACCATTTATTATCAGTCAGACCATATTAGAATACGTGAAGAACGAGTTGCTGCAATCAAATTTGTCCTTTTTCAATACTGCACAAATTTATGTTTACAACAGACTTTTTTCAACGACAGATATTATGCTTCACACCGTATGGAACTACTTTCGAAATCCTACGCCTTTTTAACTATTATTTTGCAATTTTGTAATTCATTTTAAGATGTAGTTTGAATTCAAAGATTTTTTCCAATTACATGAAATATTTTAATGTTATTCAAGTTCGAAATAGCTAATACGAAATAACAAGCTTGTTGTTTTCAGAATCTATTTTAATTCTACTTCCGGAAAATATTGGTGTTGTTGGGCACTTCCTGTCAAAAGTGTATCTATATTTACCTATTTACGTGACAAAGTCGAGATAAATTGGTAGTGCTATATACAATTTAAGTATGTCATCTGTTAATTTCTATTGTTAATCAGTAATGTAAAAATATATATCTGACTGTTTATTATTTCATGATGAGTCTAGATTTACTTAACTGAAATGAAAAGTACAACCAATGGTATGGGCATTGGAAAAAGAAAGCTTAAACTGTAAACAAAAGAAAAATCGAAATGAACCATAGCATAGATTGCCATAGAAGAGGATAGATCACGTGATTTGCTAATTATTTGAGTTCAAAGTCTTATTTATAGCGAGCTCAACGAGCTGGCCCGAAGGGCCTGCTCGCAAAGCGAGCTTTACGGTAACGCGAGTACCTGCTAAGTGATGGTTTTGAAAACTTTCGTCCAAAGTACCGAATTGGACACATCGCAACCTTTCGAATTAAAAGATAACGATAAAAACTGAGGAATTCTGACTGAAAACGGATGTGTAGACTGGTCACTCACGCACATTTATGGGAACCATAATTGGACAGGGAACCAGAATAACGGAAGCTGTGTATAAAAAATGAAAATCGAAGGCGCCATTTTGTTTGAAATCTGATAAATAAAAACAATTTTTTGTAGACTTTTGTTGTGACAACTATCTAGAATGAAAGAAAATGGTCTAACTAAGAAAATGAATCCGAACACCAATATCTTTTATTCAGTCGTTAACGCTGTACAGACGTTTAAAGTATTGTTTACGTGACGTCACAATGTAGCGCCAAACAGCACGTGCAAAACAAACAAATCAAGTACGCTATTTTAATGTCGCAAACGTTTTAAGTTTTACATTTATTTCACTTTAAATAATCTTTATTTGGCTTGAAAATATATAGAGTGAAATAAAATAAACAACGTTTTATCAACGTTTTCAAAACTCGTTATTCATTTCACGACAGGGGCGGAGCCATATTTAACACAGTACGTGTGACGTCACACGCACTCGTTACTGCATTTGAAATAAAAATGAGCGATTATTCGTAAAAAGTACATTGAGCTCGCTTTGAGGCTTTGCCTTTTTCATATTAGGATAAAGTTTGGTATCAATGCTGAAAACATGCCGTCCAGTTAGCTCAATAGATAGAGCGTTGGACAGTCATTTGGGTGACCTGTGTTTGATTCCCAGATGGTGCAGGTCACTTTCATTGTGATTGATCATGACATCCTTTCTACAGTCATTCGCACTGTACCTCTGCTCTAGAATGTACAGAGATAATCAGTTCATTGCAATAGTGAAGGCATCTAGTGTAATATGTATAATGTTTTAAATTTGCTTTGCATGTTGTTAATTTAAATGAATAATAATAAATATCTTATTATTATATAATTATACATTGTACTTCTTCTGAAATAAAGTATATTTAGAAAAAATGTTATTTATCTGTCTTGCAGATTCAATAAAATTAATATAGATCTAGATTCTAATAAAATGTGTTTCCTTAGATGCATTTTGTTTGTAAAGTAATATTTAAAAAAAAAATGAAACAAAATTGTGTTTACTTAATATCATAAGCTTCTAATTTAATCTTCCGTATTTATAAGCGCATTGATTGCTGCCGAAATTCATTTGCACGTGTCATACGTTTTTTTCTTCTATCAAATAGAAAGACCTTGTCTGTGCATTATCTAGTTAAAGTAATAAAGAACAGAACAGAAGTTAAATATGTAGAAATACAGTGAGATACGCAATCAGTTATCTTTACTCGTAATTCTACTGATAAGAAAAGCTTGTCTGCTGCTAGTTCGAAACTGTCAATCCTGTATCATAAATAATTACAATAATTACAATAAATAGTGTTAACACAAACCTAAATATTAATAATTGAAAAGTGGGCCGAGTTGACCCGTGCCGAGTTGGAATAGGGCCGAGCTGACTCGGGGGCCGGGTACGTTTTAGGGCCAAGCTGACCCGGATTCCTGGTAAACTGCTTGACAGCCTGCTCAGGAAAGATGCGGTGGCTGAACTATGTTTAGGTAAATTCATTGTCTGCTTTCTGCCGTGATCCGGAGTGAAAACTACCACCAACACCACCATCAATTCTGATAATGTCACACTTACAGAGCTTTCGGTGAGAAAAAATGTGCAGCCTGACTGAGGTCTAACTCCTGGACTCCTAGAATACTGTTCTGTAGCCTATTTAATTATGCATGAATCATCCATGAATGGTTTGACCCATTTAACTAAATGATTTTTCCAATTGTCACAGTGTCACTCCTTATTTGAGCTGTCATTTTTACGCATGAAAATATATCAGCAACACTGTTGCAAGTTTGAATTGATTTATACAGTTAAAATCAGAACATCTTTCAGTTTTTCAAAAAGTCATTAGCCATATATATTGATTTAGTTATCTCAATCAAAACTTTGTTCATTGATAGCACTCTAAATGAATACCAGCTATCTATTTTAATTTATATTGTGAAGACATGTTATGACGACATCATACAAATTCAATTCCGTGATAACTTTGTACATAATGAGTATTGCTGATCTGATCTTATCCAGTTCCTAGATTGGCAAATACTATATAAATTTTCTTCTTTCACTGAAAAAAGTTAACGAATGCTAAAGAAGCTTTAGAATCATAATCCCCTCTTATCATGTTGCTATATTTCTTTGTTGCATATGAACTTTAGGGATCTATAAAAAACAGACAATGCATTCCTTTTATTATTGTTATATACATGTAGGCTTTTCAAAAAATTTTATTTGTTGGGTATTATAAAATGTGAAAGACAACTTAGCCTTTGGGGAAATGTTAAATGAAAACAGATAGTTACTTTTTTTCTGCTAAGCTTATTAAAACATTTGTCTTTGAGTAAGATACTTGCTACAAATATTATTTGCTCATTGAAATTATGTGAGAATTCAGAATACTTCAAATAAATTCCAGTTAGCATATATTTCAATAACCAATAAAACCATTCAATTTCAGATAAGGTTTAAATTTTTATTATTAATTTTGCACATTCTGTTCAAGACTTGGCACAACAAATTTAGCCAGCCATTTATTGCAAAAAGACATTAAAATATGAATAAGACAGAAAGGTTGAACATTAATTACAAAAGGATTTGTATAAAGTCTCTGACAGACTATTGTTTAAGTCTGGGCAGGGTTAAGTTTTCTAGAAAAGTAGTTTATAAAACATACAAGTCATGCATCCTAGTTATACATTGTATTAAAGGAAATATTTTGCATATTCACAATACCACAGTTCTTTACAATTTTTTTTTATCATAATTGATATCAATTTATTATTTTGAATGCTTTTTAGTTTATACATGAACTAATGTTTATTTAAAAATTATATGTTAATTAACTTATTTTATACTTTCTGGGTTGCTCCTTCCCATCATGTAATTTTTTTGTTTCTATTTCAAGGTAGTATACTCAAACAGTAAAGAAAATGTCGGCAAAAACTGGCCAGCCATCTATTGTAGATGACTTCATGTATGGGACCAATGTTGCAACAGCCCATGTGTCAATCAGGCTTGGTTCGTATATTTTGTTACCTATGGTATACAATGAATGGATAGTTTTACAGCTGTGACATAATTTTTTAATTTGTTCACTTAAATAAACAATGACATAAACTGTAATGGCAAATTATTTTGACTATGTTGTGTCATTCACACAGGCGTTAGAGACATCATCGATATACCTGTGTACACTTCTATGTAAAGAATGCATTGTATTAAGCATATATTGACTATATTTTGATAGTATATATCTAGCGCCTATGGTCATTCATAAAGTAAAATGTATATCTAAATTTCATTTTAGTTTTGTTATAATAACAATTATGTTGATGACACCATATTTTGTTTAATTGACAGGGTTTCTGAGAAAGGTTTATGGAATTGTTACTGCACAACTTTTAGTTACCACACTTGTTAGCTTTGCTTGTTACATCAATGAGGACTTCAACTTTTACCTCTCAAAAAAGTAAGTTAATGAGTGACTATGACATATTTCTTATGGCCAGGAAAAAGAAGTAGGTAATGTTTAACTCAGGCGGTTGTAAACTTTGGATTGAAAGAGAGTTTAAGAGACTGTGATTTTTTTTAAATAATCTTGGGTTTTTAATTATTATTTAGTGTCTTTTGTCGAACCTATGAAATCCTTCCAATTAAAAAAAATGCCCTTCTTAATTGTATAAAGAGGCAAATTTTATCTCTTATTTATTAAATTAAGAGTTTGGATCAAAGTGTGCATGTGTAAACTGAATGTTGTACCCCGGCCTTATTATGATGACGGGACACTGGTAAAATTCTAAGCGAGAATCATAAGGTTATGAAATAACATAATTTTCTGTTTGTTAATTCTTATAAAATATTTCATTAGATATAGCTTTATACACATTCATTCTGTTGACTATGCATCATTAACAGAATTTCTAATGCTGCACTTTATCTTTATGAAAATTAAATTAATACCATAAGATAATATTTTACAGTCCATCAGTGATGTTAATTGCCTTTATTGGGACGCTTGGTACTCTGTTTGCACTGATGGTCAAAAGACAAGAGACCCCTACAAACTATATTCTACTGGCAGTTTTTGTAAGTATACATACACAATTTTTTTGATAAAGCTATAAGATTATAAACACGCTCTCAAATCCGTCTTTGTAACTAACTAATACTAAGCAGTTAGTGTATAGTTCTTGCTGAAGAAAACAATGGCTTGTCCCTGAAAGGGTTTTGAACCAACAAGACTAGGGATCAGTTATTAATCCTAAATCATGTTGGATTAGTAGTAGCTCTCTTGGGTAGAAATTTGAAGGTTATGGATAGTTATCCAGGAAAGATGGTTATTTTGATGAACTTTTATTATTTTGTAAAACTAGGAAAAAAAATCCTGAAAAATAGCCATATTATATATATGAACTTTAGTGTGTCCCAACCAAAAGAAACAAGAAACAAACATCTTCTACCACAGTTGAATTATTTAGATTACCAAAACAGTGATTTGTTCTAAAAAGTATCTTTTGCAAAGTAAGGTGTTGAAAAAAGAGAAATTGTGATATTTTACTAGTATGCACAGCTTAAATCATTTAATCATGTGAAAAAAACTAAGACTTACAAGAAGAGTCCACTCAGTTTTCAATAATACCTGTAATTTTACTTTGTTTCTTTGTTACAGACAGTGTTGGAAAGTCTCACTGTAGGAGTGGTTGGTAAGTTTCACTTGCCCAAATGAGCCGCGTCATGACAAAACCAACATAATGGGTTTGTGACCAGCATGGATCCAGACCAGCCTGCGCATCCGCGCAGTCTGATCAGGATCCATGCTGTTCGCTTACCAACCCTATTGCAAATAGAGAAACTGATAGCGAACAGCATGGATCCTGATCAGACTGCACGGACGCGCAGGCTGGTCTGGATCCATACTGGTCGCAAACGCATTATGTTGGTTTTGTCATGACACGGCTCAAATTAATTACACCTTAAAATATGATCTATTCATGATCATATTCTGAATTTACCCTTTTCATTTCATTGTTATAGTATTTTTGAGAAACTATAACATAGGTTTTAATTCAACCTGGCTTTTTAATGGAACCATCTCTACAGGTGTCTCATCTCACTTCTAGATACATAGATGGCTATGGAGACAATAGGTAACACTGTAACAGTAAATCTACTTGTTCTGTAGCTTCTAAAGGTGTATGCTACAGTTACATACAGACATAAGTGTATAGTAGAATTTATTTAAACTTTGCATGATCAAAGAATGGTGGTAGACACAAAAATGTTCATTTCTGACGATGCCTGTCCTGCATTTTGTCTTGCTGACAACTCTGGCATTCATGTATGGATTTTAATATGGTCTTGCAGGAAAGTTAGGCAAATTTTGGTGTAATGATTAATTATGTAATTTTGTAATGTGATGAATATTTAATTTTGTAATTTTCAGTGGCTAAGTATGATAAAATGGTAGTGATAGAAGCACTGGCTCTGACACTAGCAGTCACTGTAGCCCTGACAGTTTACACACTACAAAGTAAAAGGGACTTCAGCTCATGGGGTGCAGGGTATGTCAAGAAATGTTATATTAAATTTGTTGTATTTCTCTATTGGTTTGCCTGTTAGTCTAAAGATTGTTTTTAGCTCGACTATTCGATAAGAATAAGTAGAGCTATTGCAGTCACCCGAGCGTCGGCGTAACCACTTATGTTAAAGTTTTTGTAATAGTTCAAATATTTTCAAAGTCCATTGACATATGGCTTTGAAACTTTGCACACTTGTTCACCATCATGACCCCAATCTGTAGACAGGAGGAGGTAACTCTATCAAGCATTTTGACAGAATTATGCCCCTTTTTCGACTTAGAATTTACGTTAAAGTTTTTGTAATAGTTAAAATATTTTCAAAGTCCATTGACATATGGCTTTGAAACTTTGCACACTTGTTCACCATCATGACCCCAACCTGTAGACAGGAGGAGGTAACTCTATCAAGCATTTTGACAGAATTATGCCCCTTTTTAGCTCGACTATTCGATAAGAATAAGTAGAGCTATTGCAGTCACCCGAGCGTCGGCGTCGGCGTAACCACTTATGTTAAAGTTTTTGTAATAGTTCAAATATTTTCAAAGTCCATAGACATATGGCTTTGAAACTTTGCACACTTGTTCACCATCATGACCCCAACCTGTAGACAGGAGGAGGTAACTCTATCAAGCATTTTGACAGAATTATGCCCCTTTTTCGACTTAGAATTTACGTTAAAGTTTTTGTAATAGTTCAAATATTTTCAAAGTCCATTGACATATGGCTTTGAAACTTTGCACACTTGTTCACCATCATGACCCCAACCTGTAGACAAGAGGAGGTAACTCTATCAAGCATTTTGACAGAATTATGCCCCTTTTTCGACTTAGAATTTACGTTAAAGTTTTTGTAATAGTTCAAATATTTTCAAAGTCCATTGACATATGGCTTTGAAACTTTGCACACTTGTTCAACATCATGACCCCAACCTGTAAACAGGAGGAGGTAACTCTATCAAGCATTTTGACAGAATTATGCCCCTTTTTCGATTTAGAATTTACGTTAAAGTTTTTGTTATAGTTCAAATATTTTCAAAGTCCATTGACATATGGCTTTGAAACTTTGCACACTTGTTCACCATCATGACCCCAACCTGTAGACAGGAGGAGGTAACTCTATCAAGCATTTTGACAGAATTATGCCCCTTTTTCGACTTAGAATTTACGTTAAAGTTTTTGTAATAGTTCAAATATTTTCAAAGTCCATTGACATATGGCTTTGTAACTTTGCACACTTGTTCACCATCATGACCCCAACCTGTAGACAAGAGGAGGTAACTCTATCAAGCATTTTGACAGAATTATGCCCCTTTTTCGACTTAGAATTTACGTTAAAGTTTTAGTAATAGTTCAAATATTTTCAAAGTCCATTGACATATGGCTTTGAAACTTTGCACACTTGTTCACCATCATGACCCCAACCTGTAAACAGGAGGAGGTAACTCTATCAAGCATTTTGACAGAATTATGCCCCTTTTTCGACTTAGAATTTACGTTAAAGTTTTTGTAATAGTTCAAATATTTTCAAAGTCCATTGACATATGGCTTTGAAACTTTGCACACTTGTTCACCATCATGACCCCAACCTGTAGACAAGAGGAGGTAACTCTATCAAGCATTTTGACAGAATTATGCCCTTTTTCGACTTAGAATTTACGTTAAAGTTTTTGTAATAGTTCAAATATTTTCAAAGTCCATTGACATATGGCTTTGAATGAGTTTAGGTTTAAAACTAAATGTATATGCGAGCCTCTTGCGAATATAATATTGTTTTATTCAACAAGTTCAATAAATTCAGTATTGAATCTACATGAATATAATATTCTATTTATCACATGTCCAAAATAAGAACAGTTTTCAGTAAAAAAGAGTCATTTTTAGCTCGACTATACGAAGTATATGAAGAGCTGTCCTACTCGCGTCGGCGTCCGCGTCCAGATTTTAGATTAAAGTTTTGGTGCAGTTAAATATTTTTCACTATAACTTTGTCATTTCTTAAGGTATCAACTTCAAACTTCAAATATATGTTCCTTATCATCAACCACATCTTATGTGACAAGGTTCATAACTCTAGCACCAATATTTTCAGATTTATCTCCCCTTGAACTTAGAATTTTCCTTAAAAAATACTATTTTTTACTGATACTTCTTTATTTCTTAAGGGATCAACCTCATACTTCAAATATATGTACCTTATCACCATCCCCATCTTATGTGACAAGGTTCATAACTCTAGCACCAATATTTTCAGATTTATCTCCCCTTGAACTTAGAATTTTCCTCAAAAAATACTATTTCTTACTGTTTCTTCTTTATTTCTTAAGGGATCAACCTCATACTTCAAATATATTTACGTTATCATCATCCCCATCTTATGTGACAAGGTTCATAACTCTAGCACCAATATTTTTAGATTTATCTCCATTTGAACTTAGAATTTTCCATAAAAAATATTATTTTTTACTGTTACTTATTTATTTCTAAAGGGATCAACTTCATACTTCAAATATATTTACGTTATCATCATTCACATCTTATGTGACAAGGTTCATAACTCTAGCACCAATATTGCAAGAATTATCTCTCCATAAACTTAGATTTTTTTACTAGAAAAATGTTATTTTTTATTATAACTTTTTTATTTTTAAAGGTATCTACCTCAAACTTCAAATACTTATTCCTTATCATCAATTACATTTTATGTGACAATGTTCATAACTCTTGAAGCAATATTTACAGATTTATCTGTCTTTGAACTTAGGATTTTCTTTAAGAAATATAATAACTTCTTTACTTTTTAAGGTATCTACTTCAAACTTCAAATATATATTTCTTATCATTACACAAATGTTGTGTGACAAGGTCCATAACTCTAGCATGACTATTTCTAGAATTATTCCCCTTGATCTTGGAATTAATGTTAACAAATGTTATTTTTTTTTCTATAACTTAATACATAATTATACATAATGGATTTTTCTTTCATAGTTTTGTCCTCCTTACTGCGTCCAGTATTTTATTAGTCGAGCTTCGCTGTCTCCTGTGACAGCTCTTGTTTCATTGACACGCCTAAAGTGTAACACAAACATAAGCATGCTTTAACGCAACACAAATGACGCATCATCAAAGTATTATTACAGCAGTATAGTATCATTCTTATTAAATGGCTTTATCACATACCAATGCCACTTTTGGTATTGTACGGCCTTGCATATATTTTGATGTGACTTCATTTGCGTTATACAAACATATGTTAAGACGTGTAAACTGTTAGTGTGATTCTCTAGGCGCATCAATGAAAAATGGTTCTTTTTCACTTCAAACGATCGTTATTTTTGGTATGTAATGAATAGGATATTAAGTTTGTTTAAGTTCATTACTGAATTTATTGAACTCATTGAATAAATTCAGTATTGAATTTACACTCATTTAATATCCTCTATTTAAAACACACATTTGCAGTAGATTATGTTATAGAAAATTATAACTGAACAATTGTTTTATAATTTCAGATTGTTTGCTTGTCTCTGGGTATTGATCTTGGCTATGCTTATTCAGGTAATAATTTAAAACTGCTACAATTATCTTTAAAGGCACATTATTCCTCAGAAAGGAATTATTTTTTCCTTATTTAGAAAAGGCAAATATGAATTTTTTAACATTTAAATAATGGTTTAAGCATATGTTAGATGCTTGTCACCTAAAGAAAGTAGTGCTGAATGTGATTTTTTTTTATAAGTAGCAAAAAGTAATTAAAGAAGTATTTTGACTTCCATACACAACTCTTAATCACTATAACTGAACTAATTCCTGAAAAGCATCAGAAGCAAAATATGATAATTGGCCAAAATATTAATGAAAAAGACCTGAAAGTTCATGATGAGCTAAATACTTTAAGGATGTACCACCCAGACATGGTGTGTAGACAACAGTCCTTTCTGCAAAAGATACTCGTCAGATTTACTTCAAATTTATATTGCCACATCTTTGTGTGTGGGGAAGCTGAGTTCTGTCACATGATATCAAAAAGACAAGCGTCCTCCCATGAACTTATTGAAAAATCATCACTGAAATGGATTCTTAAATCAAGTATGATCAATGATCAAACAAATATGATCTATCAAAACTTAATTGGCAAAAACAAGCAAAAATACAATTTGATATTGTTACATGATGTGCAAACATTTATTAACTAATTGCCAACTAGTATATGGTCAATTATCATTAAAATACATGTATTGTAGCATGCTATAAATTGTTAAATATTTCTGACAATTAATATAATCAATTACTGATTTATACATTATGTAATATGTATTTCAGATACTCATCCCTGTGGACATTGTTGACAGATTGATCTCGGCAGGTGGCGCTATTTTGTTCTCCATGTTTATCGTGTTTGACACCCATATGATGATGCACAAGCTTTCGGCGGAAGAATACATCATGGCCGCCATTAACCTGTATCTCGACATCCTCAACTTGTTCCTTCACATACTACGTCTGCTTGGAGACCGAAAAAACTAACCGTTTCGAAATGAGTTCATCTTGGTTTAACTTTGCAATGAAATCTTGTTTTAAAAATAGACTTTTTGATAACAATTTTAGTGTAACATAATGTTTAAGAAAGTATAAACGAATACATATATAAGTAAATATCCTGGTATTATAGTTTAAGTAAGAAGATTTGGTTGAAGAATCTCATTAGTTAAAAGAAATAATGGAAATCAAATTGGAAAATTATTGACAGAATAATAGAAAAATATTGAAGAATGACGGCCATTTTATAGAATGAATTTTTTTGCAGAAATTTTTCAAGCATCAATGTTTATTGCGGGTTTTTTAACCCTTAACCTGCTGGAATTAAAAATTATCAGCCTTTGACCTCATGTCAATAGCCAGTCTCAGCTTTAAAAACTTTTCCTTTTTGTTTACTTATTTTATGTTGAAATCCCTAAAATTGATAATGGACAGTTCCAAAAATAAAAGTTTGACAAGTTCATTCAACAAATTAAGCAGGTTAAAGAGATATGTTTAGGATTCATTAGATGGTTTTAAAACTTATTTTATTGTTACACTGTGATAACTATGGAAACTTTTTGCTTTGGTTGAATTTTTACTATTTCTCATTGCATAGTGAAATATTCTAAATATTTTTTACAAGCAATATATACAGTTGCCATGAAATATGAAAATTATCTTTTCAAAGTAAAGAATATATTATATTTACAAAAAGCAACCAAAGTTTCCTTTTCATTATGTTATTTTATGAAAAACAGTAAAATTTCATTGTGCAGTGAGCCATATCAATTATATTTTACCAATGAAAATAAACTATTTCATTGATTAACATAAGATAAAAAAAACATGCCCATTTTAAAGGGTGCCTGTAATTTGTAGTTCAAACAATCTTATTGTTTTGGGAAGTTTTGTAGAAATAGATTAATTGTATATATATTCTTAACTAGCCAAGAAAACTTGCATAATGATTATTCTGGTTTATTTAAGTTTTGCTTAAGATTTTCTGTTTTTATTTGTGAAAAACGTAAGCTTTTAACTTAGATTTAGTATTTCTATGCTTGCTTGATAATTTATTTATCACCTGATATTGTTGTCACTTTTTGTGTTTTAAATTTTATATAAATGAGATATTAATATTGTTATTTACTTATATTTACTGTCAAATATAGCGCAACTTTGAATAGAATATAGAATTTGATAAATTCAAAATTCAAATGAAACTGTTCTGTACGTTGTACTGAAAGTTCTTACGAGTCATGAAAAAAAATAATTCTGAATCACCAATTTTCCATTATTTGTATTATGAATATTGTACTGGAATTTATTGAAGAAAATATTATTATTAAACTTCTAACATGTATGTTTTAACATTAAAACTTCATAATGTTAATTTTGAGGAATATAGTTGTCAAAAAATGTACACTGCAGAAGTTGATAATTATTGATACAGGTAAAACAAATTTTGTTGTCCGTATGAAAACATAAGAAAGTTTATCAAATCATATTCTTAATGAAAAATTGTGTTGTGAAGATATCTACAGTGATTTTAATAGATGTCTTACATGAATTTACCTTTAATAAAAATAAAGAATGTTTTTTTCTACAATTAACATTCCGAGGCAAGAAAAATGTGCCATAGTGTAAAAAAAATTGGATGTCATGTTTAGCAGGTCTCTGAAGAAAAAGTCAAGATTTTATGATCGTTGCTTCGTTGTCATGCATAAACTTTATTGTAGCCCATTATTCAAACATTATAAAAGTTATCAGCTTAAATCTTGGAATACTTATTTATCAGGACAAAGTTCATTTGTTAGACAAAGGACATAATTCTAAAAGCTATATTTTTCACTTGTGCCCCTATTTAACTTTTTGTCAAAATTGGTTGCCCCTTAACAGACGAGAATTCACACCACATGTGGGGCTCTTGTATAAAACCTGCACTCTTTATTAACAAAAAGATTATGCTTTATTTATGTTAAAATTTATGTTAAATTGTTTTGTTTTAGCATGTGTCGAAGCGACATAAAGGCAAATCCATCAGGTTAACCAGTATTACATGGTTTACAGCCTCGGCTTGGCTTGCAATTATGCAATATTGCATACCTAAATCATAAATTCTCTTTGCCACTTATGTGACTTTGGGAAATGGTATTTCTTTGCTGTGCATGAATTTTGATATGATTTTATTAATTTTTTAAAATGAAGACATGTTTAATGTTAGCATTACACTAAGATCAGGTTAATGAAAAATTATAATTTTTTATATGGGAAACAAATCATATTTTTATTTATGTGATAAATAGAATATTATTTTATCACACACCCGTGCCGATTTTGCGACTCCGTAAATATGGTATTGCACGGCCGTGCATATATTTTGACGTGACGTCATTAGCGTTAACAAACATAGTGTAAAGACGCGCTAAATGTTAGCGTTAAACTATAGGCGCGTCAATGAAAAATGACTCTTATTTCACTTTAAACTGTCTTTATTTTGAGTATGTGATAAATAGAATATTAAATTCGTGTAAGTTCATTACTGAATTTATTGCACTCGTTGAATAAAATAATATTATGCTCGCCAGAGGCTCGCATAATATAATTTTATTCAACTCGTGCAATAAATTCAGTATTGAACTTACACTCATTCAATATCCTCTATGTATTCAGTCATTGAGCTTCATTACTGACTAGTTTATCTGACTTGTTGAATAAAGTAATATAACTTGCCTGAAGTGCACATAATATAGTTCTTTTCAACTTGTTCAATAAATTCAGTATTGAACGTACAGTCATTCAATATCATATGCTGATTGGTCTAAATTGTAATTCTACAGTGATTATTGCAGGGATATCTAGTTTATATGACTTTGATTTAAATCGTGAAAAAACTTTTTGGTAGGGGTAACCACAGTATAATATACATGTGACATTGTAGTTTTTACAGGCCCATTATGCCTCAGAAATGCTATCATTTTTATTTCTTTTGGTATCTTGTTATTATTACTCATTTGCCTTATAGATGAAGTATATTTACTTCGTAAGCTTTGCTGGCAATTGCTATAATTATAGTGGATTAGTATTTTTGTATGGCAATTGAAATACTACTTTGTTCACATTTTGCTACCTTTATGACACATTACTACAAAATCAGCACACCTTTTGTCAGTATTTTAACAAATAACATGCTCTAAATCCATTATTAAAACATTATTCCATACAGTTTGATATTTTAAAAGAATTTTATGAATATAAATTTCTGAGGCATAATGTGCCTTTAAGCTAGAATATAAGGAAAGGTGAAATCATGTCAGTTGAGTTATGGCCCAGGCCTTAATGCATCTGCATTGCCTAATATATCAAGGGTCACGTGGGATGGGGATTTAAAAAAAAAAAAATTTTGACTGCGGGAACAACAGTAAACAATGTTAATTTTGGCAATGACATTCTTTATACTTTATCATCTGGCACAAAATTCAAATGAACACAATCTTTATTCCTTCAAATCAGATAATGACCTTGACATTTAACCTCTTAATAATCTTTATCTTCAAGGTCAAATTTTAAAAATCAGGAAATTTCAACAGACCTATTTTTAGCAGATTTGTGGGGGTAGATTTTATATTTTAGGCCTATATCATTTACATCTTGTTACTGAGTGAATGTATTGGAACCATATCGGACCCAGGAGAATGGCAAATGCTGTATTAATTTTTGGAAACACTGGTATGTGTAAATTATGATTTTGCTCAATAATTGTTATGTGACGGAGACCATTTTGTGTTATATGCGTGTGTAATAAGTAGAATAGTTTCATGTTTTCTTGTGATTTGTTTTTTTTTTTTGGGGGGGGGGGGGGGGGGAGGGGGGTTACCATAATACTATTGCTTTCAATATTGAAATTTTCACAGTAAATAGAATATACAAACTATGTTAATTCTTATAATTTTATAAACAAGTATTCTTTTATCTGTTTTAATTTTGTTAATGAGAATGTTATGGGAAATTTCATAGGGGTTAGAACTTTGTTTTAAATGAAAAGATATGTCATGTGGTAAATTTTATGAAAATATAATTATGTTGTATATGTAAAATCATGTATTATGAGAGAAAAATATGTATATAATGAGTATAAAATTGCAATCATGCTGATTAAAAAAAAATTGTGATATTTATTTTTTTGGTGTAAATAGGTTTCTTGAATGTGTAACAAATGTACTTCATGGGTGAATAAAGTGCATTCTTTAATTTCTATTTTACTTTTTTGTTTAGGGCCACTGTGCCTTAGTGGTCAAGATTATATAGTGGTAGCATGGCTGAGTGGTAAACATGTCATATAGGTAATGCAAGAATCGCTATCTGTGTGTGTTCAAACCCCGTCAGGGGCCAAGACATTTCATGGAGCAAGAACTTAACAGTCATAACTCAGTACTTGAATGTTCCGAGAATGGATTGAAGAGTTTGTCTATAAGCTTATAGCTTCCTACTAAATCAACATAAAATATTTTTTTTAAAACAATGAAAATAATAAAGAGGTACAACTGACCAAAATAAATTCTGTATAAACTAAGGTTTTATCTGGAATGTTGAATCTTTCCTATTAAGGAAACCTTGAATCTTCCTTACTGATCAGAAGCTTGATGGTTATGATAATACCTGAAAACATTGATTCACCAGTAAAGATGGAATGATAAGGATTCCAAAGTCCAGCAGTGCAGATAAGAGACTGGATTTATCACCCCTTACCAGTTCAGGTTTGAATCCCGTCAGGGTTTTGGGTTTCATAAAAATCTGCCATATGACTGAGGAGATGTCATTAACCCATTACTTCATGAGCATTTTGTGAAAAATGGCTGTTTTCATTGAAAAGTCTCCCGTTACAAGTTCAAATTGCTATAATACTATAAAAACTGCTTCAACACTAATCAAACTTGGCACAAATGTTGACTGGACCATTGCCCTTGCAACAACATGCTCAGGCTTAAATTTTCTGTTACCATGGCAACGAGGGGACATCTCAAAATTGCCAAAAATCACTATTTTGCGTTGATTTTTTCAAAGTGCTGCAACTTCTCAATGGATTGAGATAGAGTCAAATGCTTTTCAGCGTTGGTTACAAGTTACCTTATGATCAATCTGGGGTCATTTACAGCCTCTCACAAGTCCAAAATTTTCTTGGCGATGAGGGGGACTCCGCCCCCCTTCAAGCCCCCCCCCCAAACAGAAGGGGGCACATCCCCCTTCTGGCAACCCCCTGATGTATCTTTTGGTTGGGGAGCCGCGCGGAAAAAGAGGTCACTTTTTTTAACAACATTTCTCAAACAAAAACAAGTGTTTGGGGCCTAAATAAGGCATTTTTTCATCATTTGAGACAACAAAAAGGGGGGGGGGGTGAAAAAGGCGTTAAAAGGCGTGTATATGAAGTAATGGGTTAACAGAAAATGATGAAAATACTTGAAATTACCCTTAATCGCGTTTTTTCATGTTTAAACATGGTCTGTCATATAAATTTGAAGAAAAATTGTTGTTTTGTAGATTTTTTTCATTTTTTTCATTAACCCATTACTTCATGAGCATTTTGTGAAAAATGGCTGTTTTCATTGAAAAGTCTCCCGTTACAAGTTCAAATTGCTATAATACTATAAAAACTGCTTCAACACTAATCAAACTTTGCACAAATGTTGACTGGACCATTGCCCTTGCAACAACATGCTCAGGCTTAAATTTTCTGTTACCATGGCAACGAGGGGACATCTCAAAATTGCCAAAAATCACTATTTTGCGTTGATTTTTTCCATCAAAATTGATTTCAAAGTGCTGCAACTTCTCAATGGATTGAGATAGAGTCAAATGCTTTTCAGCGTTGGTTACAAGTTACCTTATGATCAATCTGGGGTCATTTACAGCCTCTCACAAGTCCAAAATTTTCTTGGCGATGAGGGGGACTCCGCCCCCCTTCAACCCCCCCAAACATAAGGGGGCACATCCCCCTTCTGGCAACCCCCTGATGTATCTTTTGGTTGGGGGGGCCGCGCCGAAAAAGAGGTCACTTTTTTTAACAACATTTCTCAAACAAAAACAAGTGTTTGGGGCCTAAATAAGGCATTTTTTCATCATTTGAGACAACAAAAAGGGGGGGGGGGTGAAAAAGGCGTTAAAAGGCGTGTATATGAAGTAATGGGTTAACAGAAAATGATGAAAATACTTGAAATTACCCTTAATCGCGTTTTTTCATGTTTAAACATGGTCTGTCATATAAATTTGAAGAAAAATTGTTGTTTTGTAGATTTTTTTATTTTTTTCATTAAAGGTTACTTTCTATATTCAGTCAGCCATCTTGTTCATCACACTCTAATACTTTCAGCAATTTCAGTTGAGTACGACCTTATACAGATAAAAGTATAAGTTAAAACTAAGACACAACAAACAATTAATGAAAACAAAGAAGACGAAGAAAATAAACTGTTCTTTCACCCTTAACCATTAAAGTTTCCACATCTGTGTTCAAAAACAGCAAAGCCAAGAATATCAAATCTAGTCTGTTTTGCAACCCATTCATACGAGTATTTTTCTGATGCTTACAAAAAACTGGAATCAAATAAATCTTGTATTGCAAACAAACAATCTCGTATTTGTCGGCCTTCTTTATTGACATTTCGGCCACTATCCAGTCAGTCAATGAGAAAAACGAACAATTTTTTAACCTAAAGATCTTCATTTTGTTACATCTCGTAGGACTTTTATGAATATAAATCCTTCTGTAGCCATATCACATGACAAGAAGGTGAAGAGAAAGGGCTTTGCCTCAACGATGATTATCCACAAACAAACCTGTTCAGTCTTATGTTCAGAGAAAATTTTAATACTACCTATAGTATGATCATATGGAAATTTTCGAATCGAGTGTAAAAATAAACTCACCTTTTTAGCTCACCTGTCACAAAGTGACAGGGTGAGCTTTTGTGATCGCTTTTCGTCCGGCGTCCGTCCGTCCGTAAACTTTTACTTTAAATGACATCTCTTCATAAACCACTAAGCCAATTTCATCCAAACTTCACAGGAATGTTCCTTTAAAAATTGTTCAAAGAATTTAATTCCATGCAGAAAAGAAAAATATTAAAATATCTTCTTTTAAAAAACCCAAAGAGCTAGAGCTTAGATATTTGGCATGAAACATCTTCTAGTGAGTGTCTACCAAGTTTGTTCAAATAAAAGCCCTGGGGTCAAAATTGGCCCCGTCCCAGGGGGTCATTGATTTTCCCTATATGCATATAGTAAAAACTTAAAAAATCTTCTTTTAAAGAACTCAAAGAGCTAGAGCTAAGATATTTAGCATGAAACATCTTCTAATGGGTGTCTACCAAGTTTGTTCAAATAAAAGCCCTGGGGTCAAAATTGGCCCCGCCCCAGGGGGTTATTGATTTTCCCTAAATGCATATAGTAAAAACTTAAAAAATCTTCTTTTAAAGAACTCAAAGAGCTAGAGCTAAGATATTTAGCATGAAACATCTTCTAATGGGTGTCTACCAAGTTTGTTCAAATAAAAGCCCTGGGGTCAAAATTGGCCCCGCCCCGGGGGTCATTGTTTTTCCTTATATGTGTATAGCAAAAACTTAAAAAATCTTCTTTGAAAAAACCCAAATAGCTAGAGTTTAGATATTAGGCATGGAACATCTTCTAGTGAGTGTCTACAAAGTTTGTTCAAATAAAAGCCCTGGGGTCAAAATTGGCCCAGCCCCGGGGGTCATTGATTTTCCTTATATGTGTATAGCAAAAACTTAAAAATCTTCTTTGAAAAAAACCAAATAGCTAGAGTTTAGATATTAAGCATGAAACATTTTCTTTTGGGTGTCTACCAAGTTTGTTCAAATAAAAGCCCTGGAGTCAAAACTGGCCCCGCTCTCGGGGTGTCATTGTATTAACTTATTATGTGTATAGTAAAAACTTAAAAAATCTTCTTTTAAAAAACCCAATGAGCTAGAGCTT